TCCCCCCCGAGCTCACTGCAGGAAGCTGATTAGGACCAAGGTGCTGATGTCGGCTGCACTTTGTTTCCCTCTGGTTGGATTCAGAGATTCAGCTGCAGTACCACCAGCTGCCACCGTGTCACAGCTCCGTCGTGGGATCAGACTGTGACACAGTTTATTTTCCCTTTTCTTGATCTGGCTGAAGTTTGCTCCGCGGACGTGACGCGGCCCCGCGGTCGGCCCCGGGGTCGGAGTCCTGCGGCACTGTGTCACATGTTTGTTTAAGCAGTGGATGAGCAGCGACGGCGTTCAACAGGAGCTGACTCAGAGTCGCTGGTGACCGTCGTGTCCTCGGCCTTTGTCTGCGTCTCGCATCACTAAGTTATGGCAGATGACTGCTGAGGTCTGACTTGCTGGGGGATTAGAAGCGTTGACACTGGCTCACTGCCTTTGTCCCCCAAAACAAACCGGGTGCTCCGTCACCGGCCCAGCAGCTGCCGTCTGCTGACACGAGGCCTTTGTGCCGACGGGCCCTCGGCCTCGGGGGCCACCGTCCTCCCTCCTCATTGTCTAAATAAGACGCACGCGAGGCAGGCGTCTTTTAAAAGACAACACCCCTGTCCTCCTGCTGCTGCTGCGTCTCCTCACACCTGGCACATGTGCACATTTACTCCTTTACAGTGTTTTGTGTCTGAATTACAGTTTGCCGAGTCGTAAATTTCGAGCGGAGCTTTTGCACGTTATTTAGTGTCATGTTGTCGAGCGCTTAGCCGTCGACATAAAAGAAATGAAGTGCGCACTTAATGAACACTCTTTCTTTTCAAGTGGTCGTATTTCTGGTCGTCATGGCGACGATACAGAGCTTTCCGTGTTGGAACAAGGGGTCGGGACGGATTTCAGTGAGTTCATGTCCGAGCGAATGTGATGCAGTAAGAATTATAAGTATAACTTAAAATTTTTATAAAACACAATAAAATTATTATTACGAACATCCTGGAATTTTACACAAACATAGAAATGGACAGATATGAATTAGGCAGCTGATAAATGTTCATCTGTATAGATACATGATGAGAAAACGTATCTGGTGATTGACTCATCAGGAAAGTGAGCGTCTGTCTGGCTCACGACTGAAAGACTCAACAGCAAACTTTAGTTTTTAACGTCATTTTTAAACTCGCTGCTTTGTTTTCAGATGTTTCTGTTTCACACCTGGTGATGGAAATATCCTGTTGGCCCATGAATGAAACCACCGCCAACTTGTATGTGACAGTTCAACACACAGAGGACGTTATGAATCCCACGTCTGAAAGGAGCTTCAGATTTTCTTTCTTCTCCTCCACCTGTTGCAGCGTCGACTTTCAGACGTGTAATTTATGAACGCACTTATTGCTCTGAAACCCCAGGCTGCTTTTTTTTGAAATGTTAGGAGGCGGCAGATGGACTTTTTTCCAGGCCGAGGTTTCCCGCTGTGTGTCGGCAGCTTCGATAATGTCCCAGGTCCAGAACCAGCGTCGGACAGCTGCACCTGGAATCTGGACCTGGAATCACTTTAACGAGCTTCTGTGCTTTGTTCCCGGTTGTGGACTTTGTTGACGAACGTCTGCGCTGTTGTCACCGGGGATTCTATTGATTCTATACTCTTAAACATTTACAGATGTTTTACAGCTTGAATGCACTTTCTTCAGCATTTAATCTATGAGACTAATTATTTAAAAACCTTTTCAGTTATCTGAGGAAGCTGCTCCTGACTGTGTGTCCTTGAGTGAACCTGTTCCAGATGTTTGTAGATGTGGAGGAGAGAGGACGGGGAGGAGGGGGAGGAGGGGACTGCAGCAGAGGAAGAGGAGTGATGGGAGTCGGGGGGGGGGCAGCGCTTTTTATAGCGGATGAGCCATCGCTACGGAGTCGCCTCCTCACCAGCCTGTAAGTACGTCTCTCCCTGATCCCCAGCCGGCATCCTGCACCCGGCTGGCGTGAGGCTGCTGAGGGCTGCGGGCGAATGGGGAGCAGATCGAGGGGGTTTCGTTGTGATAAAGGGAAGAAGAAGCAGCAGGAGGAGGAGGAGGAGGAGGAGGAGGAGAGCAGGAGAGAAGGGGGATGGGCCGGGCTTTGTCGGTGCAGTGCAGGCATGTAGGCAGGCGGACGCACGCCGACACATTC